GGACTTGTTTGATTCTCCATTTTTTGTATGATCCACATTCGTATATACACACAGATATTATATAGGGATCCATATGTGTTTTTTTGTCATGTTTGAGTTCGTAGGTTAGTGGGTGCCTCGTCTTTCTAGTGACTATTTCTTGTTAGTGATGGTATGGATAATGATTTTATAATTATCGGTCTAATTTAGGTTTTGTTAATAATTCGTTATTTGGGTTCCATGTATAATTACGTGCGCACCATTTTCTTATTTTCTCAATATAAAAAAAGAAGTACAAAGGGCAAATTCATTATGTGTTTGTCTGTCAGCTTGGAATTGCAAATATTTTATCAAACAAACTATAGTTAGTTATATTAAGACTTAAGTAAGCTTGATGTTTAGAGGGAGGCCTCAATAAGCAAAGAAGAGATTTTAAAATGCAAACATACTTTAAAACTATGATCTTGACAAAATCATGAAGTTAGTGGAAAGCCTCTATCTGATTAGAGAATTTCTAAGAAATCTTATAAATTATATAGAATTCTTAAGAATCTAAGCATTAAGTATACAACTAATTATTAACCTGAAAAAATGGTGTTCCAAAGGTTTTTCTTCACCCTATTTGTTCTTTTGGCAACTTTGATCACAGTTGCTAAAGGAAACCACAACAGAAAGCTATTGACAAGTTACAAACCGGAATATTCTCCTCCTCCATCCCCGATCTACCGTGCTCCTCCTACTCCGGTCTATGGACCTCCGGTTGCTCTTCCTCCTCCTCAACCTCATGCCGCCTACTACTACAGAAAAGCTCCACCGCCACCGCGCTCTAAATATGGAACAGTGTATCCACCTCCCCCTTCCAAGCCATGGTGGTGGTTGTTGAGGGGCTAAGAACAAGACCATTGTTTACCATATTCAATGATGGATTGTTACCTGAGAGAAGTTTTCTTTTTACGCAATGCCTGAAACATTAAAAGAGTGCATTAGTGTTGTCTAAACCTGGCTTTGATTTGATGTCTCTTAGTTTACCTCGAGTTTGTGTTTTTGGTTGCGGTTTTGTAGTGAGCAGCATCTTCATTCAG